AGGGTAGGTCAAAAAAAGTATAACTTTTTTTTGGATCTGACACACAAAAACTAGTTGCTAGTTGCCTCTAGAAGGTATGAGCTCTTCATATAAATAGGAAAATTATCCTCATTGTAATATAATTTTGCATTTTCAATTTAGTCTCATACCATATCTTATAGATCATTAAAAGAATTTTATTGATAATTTATCACTATTTGATACTGTTCCACTCGATATAAAAAATAGGTCAAATCAATTCGATTACTCAAAAGGATTTGAGTGACTTCTTTGACCTACCATACGATTTCCTTGATGTTGATATTGCATTCTGGACTTCAGATGAGAGTTATAAGGAAAATGAAGAGTATTTCAAGGAAATGAAAGTTGTAAATAACGCAGCAGAGCGTGGAGTGGCGTCGGTCTCCGAATATAATCAATGTTTGACGAAAAACGAAGAACAGTTTCAATACTTGCTGCAAGTTGTCAAAGAACTATTTCTTGACTGTAATAAAAGTCGATTTGTATAACTAAATTTAAAAAATGTATATTATTCTATTAATACTTTATCAAGGTATAAAATTTCATCTGGTGGAACAGAATTCTTGTTCTATTAATGTATTTATTGATATTTCTTGAATAAAAAACTTTTTTTTCTGAAATAGATAATAAATATTCTCAAAACTTACTAATTCAATGCTTAAATTCAAAATATTTTTTAAAAACTATGAATATAAGTACCATTTGGGACTCGAATGGTTCGATTAATCGATAAGCCACAACAGCATTAAATTCCTATAAGAACAATTGAAAACATTTCACGATAATTATTTGTCAGTCAACAACAACATTCAGAACAAAAAGTTATTTTTATTTAAATTCTTCCAATCTTTGACCTCGAATATCTTGGAAATAGTTCGATTTATCGAAAAAGTATAAGAGGCCATTTTGTAGAACACCCATTTATTAATAAAATTAGCTTAATGATTTTTTGTCAGATAAAAAAAAAGTTTTTTTTTGACCCACCAAATTGTTTACATCTGCTGTTTATAACTGCTGAGCTCTTTCTTATTTTGTTAGCCTAGTAGATGTTTTCGTCCTGCTTCTCCAATGCGGAAAACTCCTGTTGTCTCAAACGGAATTATGTCTTTGACGGATCGCACTTGTCTTGAGAGACTGATATTATATTTGTTAAGAACTTTTGATATCTGGTCAGTGATGTGAATGTAAGGAAAAACCACAATAGCAAGTATGGGGTAGCCTTCTGATTCATTTTTTTGGAGATTATGGTGAAGTGTGTTTTGTGATAGAACGCTTTATATCTCCAATGTGAAAATTAATTAAAAGAGATGTTAGGTGTTTGACTGTGGGTTCAGTGATTCGGGTTGAGACAGTTTTACGGCTCTACAAATAAGAGTGTTGATAACGGATGATTTGTGCCTAAGTTTTCTGTGAACTGAATGACCCAATGTGATGTCTGGTTATTATTGTTTTTAGTTCAATGGAAAAACATATATATAGTGAATAGGGTTGAAATGAGTGAGATCAAATCAATAGTATCATCAACGTAGGGTTTCAGTTTTAGGTGGAAGTTGTCGAAGGCTCGCTTTCATAAATGTATTTGTGATGGCTGATGATAGAAGCCATAGTTCTTCCTGGTATTTCACCGTTACAGGAAAATATGTTTTCAAGACAAACAATTTCCAATAAAATGAGAAGATATGATCCCCGATTCGTTTGGCTTTAATTTATATTATTCAATGAAATAAAAGGAATTGCGAACTTATCAGTTTTTCCTGAAAAGGGATTTAATATAGGTAGTTTGCTAGAGAATAATTTGGAGAATCAGTGGCGCTAGCAATTGTGAACCGTAGGGAGTCCGAAGAAACGAAGAATTTTAGAGTCATGAAGGGCGACATATTTTGGATTTTTTTTTTATTTGACGAAAGGATCCGTCTCTAAGAATATCTTGAATTTTGTTTTTCTTCTTTCAGACTTAAAATTTTGAGATTAAATTTTTGAGATTTTAGAGGTATGCAGTTAGTCTTTGGAATATTAGATTTAGGACTTTTGGATTTTTGCGGATTTAAATTGAATTTCATTAGCTGTTTGAGATGGCAATTTGTTTAGAACTTTAAATATCAGGAGACTTGATAGTAGATGGTTGTGCTTATTTTGCCAGATATCTCTAGAACTATATATTTCTATGCTTAATTAGAACGCGTCATTTATGATTATTTTTTAGAGAAATGAATGTGTAAAAGCAGTGAAATATATAAAATTATGTTCTGAGACATGGCAATGAATATTTCATACGTAAGAGATCTGTAAAAAATTCTGCGTAACTTATCATTTAAAACTCGATAAGAAGCTCGATAGAAAGTGATATGACTTGGTTTAATGTGAAACTACATACATTTCGTACATTATTTAAGGCTTTAATAAAAGTCAAAAACAAATGCACAATTTCTCTAAATAAATCATCAATGTAATGCAACCGTTCTACCTATCGAATGTTAAGAACGAAATAGCCATGTTAGAAAGCTTGAAATCCGAGTTTAAATTCTTGCGGATTATGACGTGAGAAAAAAAAACGAAAAATATGGAAGGGAGCAACAATAGAATGGGGATACGTTTTTTGCGAGGCTTCTTGTCAGTGGAAAATGAAAACTACCGAATATTATATGCAATATTACAAGAAAGTGTCTTTTCCTCCCTGTCGCCCAATAATTCATATTCGTGGAATAAAATTTAAAATGAACCCCCGACCTCAAATGCGACACAATGCAATGGAGATGACAGTGTTAAATAAAGACTAGAGGTATTTGCCGTATGATTTGAACTTTGCATGTATATGTGAAGGTGCACGTGGAATTTAATGCATAATTTGTCAAAAATTTTTATAGGCACGGCCTAACTGATAATGGCCAGGTGCGCAACTTTTCAGCGATACAGCTCTCGATAAATAACACTATAGATTTTATAAAATACTTAAAAGGCGTGCATGGGATAATTATGCTTCAGGATTGAAGTCGAGGAGCAAGAAGCCAATCCAGCTTTAAGAAGCTGGAGTCCTCGGACAAACCGTCAGCTGAATTAACCAGAACCAGAACAAAAGTGTTTAGTTAGTGCATTTGTCTGGTTTTCATTATTTTAATTACCATTGTAAACCCTGAAATATCGTAAACTATTCAAGCTAACTTGTATGAAATTTGTACTATATCCGTATAAAAAAGGTTTCTCTTCCATTTTCAAAAATTGTACATTTAAAATCGACACAACCTTAGAGCTTGTAAGCAAGAGAGGAAACCGGAGGAAATAAAAGTAATATAAACAAAAACAGTGTACATAACCTTTTCAAAGTTCTTATGTTTGCGAAAACATATAAATCTCTCCAATACTGTCGAATGCTGTATTTTGTGTCATTTAAGGTATACATCTAGTATTTGGTGCTCTAGAAAAACTAAAAGTCTGTATCGTGTCAGTCAAAATATCTTCATAATTATATGTAGAAATTTATCGGAAAAATTTAGGATGTCAACGGCAAATATAAGAGTAAAACTCCATTTCACCGTTCACAAAGTTTCGGGAGGTCGACGTAAAAAATAATTGGGATAAAATGATAAAGAAAAGTATTGTAACTTTAACGTGGGTTCATCTCGGTTGATGTTTCTTTACTTTAATGCCCCGAAGTTGTTCTGTTTTTCGCTTCAATTTAAAAAATTCTTTGTTGTCTCGAAAATAAATCACATCTATTCCTATAGAAGAGATCTTTCTTATTCTCTAAAACCCAACGTTGTTAAATTAATTAAAGCAACGCATATACTCGGGATAGAAAATGGTTATTATTAGGAACGTTAACTTTCTTTTTCGCCATTTCCTGAGACTATCGTCACTTAACATTCGTCTTATTTGATACTAATTTTTACAATAATAAATATTTCGAGCAAATCCTATAATTTACTTAAAATATATGAATAAAATTAGTGCGAAATAAAACTAATCAAACTTAAACATTGTTAAAAATCAAGGCTAACAAATTAAATTTTGAAAAAATTCATGACGAATTATGAAATTGAAAAGAAAAGAAAACTTTGCTCGCTTTTAATAGACTCACAAAACAGCTAACAAAAGGATTCTCTTCTAATCAAAAAGATGATATTCTTGCGTCTCAAAGTTTAATTTTTTTCTCTCATTTTTCTGACATCTTTTTCGACAAAAATAATTTTAGTACTGGTGTTATAAACAAAGAACGGTTCAAAAGATCCTTGCAGAAAAGCACCTTCTCACACACACAACATTCTGCCTTTGAATAATAAATAAATCCTTCTGAACATTTACAATTGAGTATACCTTCACTCATTTTCAGAAAACAATAACAAAATTTCGCTTCTACAGAAGTTTCATTTTTATAAATTCGTAGAAAATTAGTTGTGCAGAAAATAGTAATAAACATACCATTATTTGTCGCTCCTACAGAAATTTTATTTTTATAAGTTTGTGGAATTTTTTTAACGTTTAAATTTAATTCAAATGAAAATAGGTCTTGATATGCTGATGTTGTATTGCTATTAAATAATGCAGATGGTTTGTTGCTCGTGGAAAGAATACAACAGAACTTCGTTAACTACCACTTGGGTTGATTAACAGTGATAACGATCAGGATAAGTGAAAATCTAAATATTATATCAGCAGTTATAAAGAAAATTGAAGAACATCGGCAATTTCCGGAAACAAAAAAATAATTTTCATGCTAAATGTAATCTCATTCAATCTCATGGATTTTTTGCCAATCACCTTCCAATGGAAATGTTTTTTCCTGCAATGTCTTGTTATTCCAGAGTTGTGCGCATGTACACAAGTTGTTTGTGGTACGTACTTTTTTGTGTGTATTTACATGGTGGATATTAAACTTATCTCAAACGCAATATTGACTTATATCGCATGTTATCGATTTGTTTAGTTAAACGTAACGAATTTCCGAGTAAATCCTCAAGTTTTCGGAACAATGTTTTACGTACCGGGTTCATTTTCGTATTTGCCCTCTACTTCTGAACCGCCAACGGCACAAATTCCAAGACCCATAATTCTCAACCACTCCCCGTTTTTCCGCGTCTTGCAAAAAAGTACAAAAACCACCAACACGACCGCGAACATTGTAGCCACCAAAAATTTCTTTAAACAATTCGTCACACGCACCGAATAAATTTCAAACGGCTACGACTAACACATAGTTACATGCAAAATAATGTAAAGTTTTTCTTTGGTATCAGTTTTAATGACAGCGAATTTGACGCTCCTCCGCGTATCAGGCGATACCGCGAAATTTTAAATGAACCGCCGCGTAACTATTCGAGACTCTTCAGGAACGCGTAAAAAACGGTATCGAGGTCTCACGCTTCCCACAGCAGCGGACGTTTTGCCACTACTGACGGTGGCGCTAAAAGGGAGAAACGCAAGCGCTGGACCAATAGCACACCAATAGCTCGCAGGCCGATATATTCCGAACGCCTACGAGAACGGTGGTGGTTTTCTTTTGGTCCTTTCGGGCCGGAACGGCTTCTTGAAGATCGTCCGGAGTCTGCGGTAGAGATGCGGTTTATCTATGAACTTAATTTTCTTAAGTGTTTTTCTTGCAACAACTTAAACGTAATGGTGAAGGACGTGGGTGATTATTAAAGTTCGCGTAATTAAGTCAACAAAACTTTTGATTTCTGCACTTTCAAAATTTAATTTAAAAGTTTTTGGTTGTCTTAACCGCGCGGAGTATATTTGGATAAATATCGGGGCGCGAAATTGACTTGACTTAGACTTAGATTTGTTAAGTTCGTTCAAGGAATTTTGGGTTAAATTAATTGTTCCGCAAAAGATTATATTATTATAGTAAGCAAATGTCATTTTAAAATAAGTGCGCTCAATGTGTGCAAGTATAAGCGTGTATAATAAATACCCTTTTGTGAAGCTTCAACCGTCTACTTATTTTTTGTGTGGCTAGTATGGAATGTGTTAAACAATTGAATTATTTGATGAAATTTATTTAATAAGTTTTAGATTAAAACAAACAATGTTCAGATTTTCATAAATAATTTGTTGGTGTATGACAGTTGTTTGGAAATCTATAGATATAAAATTACAGTTATTGTAGGATTTTCAACTTTAGATTAATTATCAGATCCATTCAAATCCATAGCTTCCAGTACATTTTTGGCTATACACTATGGAAAAGATAACAAACTTGTATATTTCTAAATTTAAATAAATGTCATAATTAGAATCGAAACTTATTTTTATACTATCTTTAATATTCGTTAATGCGTTCCTTAAATGCTCTACCCGTTTGTCAAATATACATTTTGGGACATGATCCACATTTTAATCTGTAGACTAAGAATTTGGAGTTGTTTCTGACTAAGTTTTAATGTTTTTTAAATATTTTCAGTTTTAAAATAAATTTTGACACCGCGTTTAGACAGATGTTTTGAAATTTTCTTGCTGTGTATTTTATTGTTTTATAATATAATACTGATTTTCTTGTTAAATTAATTAAAAAAATTGTTGCCTAGTAACACGATCAAGTTTTAAAAAATGCCTATAATAACCATCTCACCGTAATCTTAGGACTATTTAGAGAACAAAAATATTCTGAAAAGTGTTTACTTGAAGGGCAGTTTTAAAACTTCTTTGACGTAAACTCCTTATAAGTTACGTAGCCCGGTTCAAATTTTTCATTTTTTTGCAAGCAAAAAAAAAATTAAAAACGATTATCATTACATCTGAGGTGAGCTTTGGTTTGTGTACAAAACAATCTTTTTAGTAAGTTTTTCACCTCCGACGTAACGTATATATTGTATAAAAAGAAAACAATAAATTTTAATTAACTTAATTAATTAAATATTTCAATTCATTTTATTTCATATTAGAGTATCCAAACTTATAAAACATTATATTTGAGAGACTAAGTATTAGTAACAGAGAATTACGAAGGTCCTTATTTTAGGTTTAAAATTAGAAAACGTAAATAGTTTTTATTCAAGAGGAACTAAATCAAAAATTTGAATGCCATTTAAATGTATTTTTTTTAATCCAATAGTTTACCCGACTTAAACAAGCAATCTTATTCAAGTAGAATAAGCATAAACTATTTCTTAAGAGCTACGTGCATAAGACCTATAAAATCTACATTTAGTGAATACTTACACTGTCGCTGTTTTTTAATTTAAATAAAATTTTTGGTACATAATTCCCGCAATTATTTTAGAGAACTTGTTGTAAGCACATTCCCCATAATTAAACAAATATTCAATAAGATTTGTATAAACTATGAAAAAAAATAAATAACTAAATATTTATTTACCACTTTCCGATATATGAGCTCAAAATTTACAAAAAATAATTTTAAAATGATTGTAAATAAAAAAAAAGTAGAATTAGATAAAGGTCACAATGGGTATAAATTAAAACATTTTTTTCATTAAAGACATTTTTTTAAAATTATGTGTGGAAGTTGAAACATCTTTTTATTTTTTATTTCAAATTTGCTTTTTTAGTTTTGAAAGTATCTATTTCTAAAAATCGCATTTTTTGATAACGGAACAGAACTACAACTCTAATATATCTGTTGGTCTTTAGAATATTCGGTATCCCAATTTCTGAACATATTAATATTACAAATTCTTGACAAGGTAAATTGTAATCAACGTCTTGATAGAATATTGATTTACTTATCAAATAAAGAATTAAATAAACAAAAGCGAGCTGTGGGTTAAATTCCTTTTCTGTTAGTGAGACAATAAGGCCGTGCTTTATTCCCATCAAATTGAATGGAACAGAAAAACGATATCTTTTACACCAAACCGTTTGAGATAGGTTTGATAACATATCGAATAACTCAATTCAATGTACAAAGGAAGATTATATCACGCCGTTAAACTCAAACGTAGGGCAAAGTGCACACAGAGTCAGTGTGTAAATAATATCAGTATTTTTTTAACGTCTCTTACTGATTGGGCAAAATTTTTATATTTTCACAATCTTTGTTAAAATAAAATCATCTTGCAAATGAGATTTTAAAATAAACGTCATATGAGCTGTGTTATACCTAAATATGATCGAAAATATATTATGTCTTAACTCAAAATTGAATTAAAAAAATCTATGAAATTAATTTTGGGTTTTACGTGGAACATACAAATAATATAACAATAATAACAAATAATTTCAAAAATAATGCATGATGCTCTTATTCGCATTCAGAGTGCTTTACCGTTTTGTTTTTAATTCTAGATGGGTGCCAGCCAACTAAACTGCTTTCAAGGCATTTTAGTTTATATAACATTTTGGCATTTACCTGTGGCTCGTGTCCTTATAAATCAAAGTTGCTGACGTTTCGCAGATCATCCTGTAGACTTCTTCAGCGCTTAACTGAAACTGGGTCGTATTCTACTCTGTACCTGCTTATATATTGTTTGAGTGGGGCGGAGCTAAAGGAGGTGCATGAACATTATTTCGGATGACTGATTTCTATGGATACTCGGATTTTTCTTTGGTAGAAGAATTGATTACGAATGCTGTAAACTCCTGGTATCTCAAACGGAATTTTGTCTTTGACTGATCTAAGAAGTTGAGAGATTTTTGGACAAGTGTTTTGACGTCATATTTCTTAAGAACTTTTGATATGTGGTCAATAATGTTTTGAATGTAAGGAAGAACAACAGCGACAAGTGTGGGGTTGCTTTCGGACTCATTGTTTTTGAAAGGTTAGGGTGTATCAATGTAATCAATTTTTCTACCAAAGAAAAATCCGAGAATCTATAGAAATCTATAGGCAATCAAACAATTTTAACCGTGACTCAGGTCTTAACCTTAACCGAGACATTGTTCATTCATGTCCCTCATTTAGCTCCATCCACTTCAAACAATATGTAAACTGGTACAGAGTAGAATACGAGCCTGTTTCATTTAAGGATGTTTGGCGAAACGTCAGTAATTTTGATTTATAAACAATCGATGCAGAAGAAATCCTGAAGATTTGTAATTATGATTAGTAGAATAGATTTCAGCTATGAAATACTAACGCAAATAAAATTCCGTCCTAAAAAGACTATAACAAACAATAAATATAGATGCGTTGATGTATTAATTCGACTAATTTGTTTCAAATTTCCAAATTCCGTGTCGCCTGAAAATATTTTTTATTTTAATTAGATAGCATAATTCTTCTTCCTTTTCTCTTCTTAAACATCCAATAGAATTAGTTTCGACTCCTATAATCGAAGTTAATATCACTTGAAAGAGAAATTTGCTTTTAAAGTAAGAACCGTGGCTTGAAAAACAGTATTTTTCATGACATTTAATTTTCTTATTTTTGTTACCCAGATAAATAATAAATCATGAAACTCTTTAAATCATTTTTTATTATTTTATATATCTATAGATACATATTCGTGTTAATTTAATTCATTTATTTTGAAATTAAGCCAAATATTTTCTTGCAAAACTATTCTTTTTATTTTTGCTGGAAACAAATTTCATTCTTTTCAGAAAGATAAACTCTTACTTTGAACAAGATAAGAAATATGTATAAGGATAAAATTCTACCAAAAAACGTGAAATCCATGTTTATTTGCAATATTTTGGTCTCCATTAAAAATATTTTTTTGGTTTCCTCGTATTTCAGCCAATATTTTAATTTAAACATCCGACCCAGTGAATAAGACGAACTTGTGCTAGACTTGCAAAAACGTTTTTGAGCCTTACTTGCTTACTTAGTTAATTAATGCTAGTGCAATTATTAAAAACCAATTTGAATCAGAATTTTTAATTATACAGCATTGAAGTGAAAAGTAAATTTTGTGAAATACATGTAATATAAGTTTACTATATTAAACTAATTTTTACCTGAATTTTATTTCATTCAACAAAGAGCATTTCCGAATTGATTCGAAAGCATCGAGAAACAGCGGGACGTCCGAGTTGAAATGTCACCCAATTAAAGGACCGCGCCAACTAATTACGACCGGAGCCGCTTAAGATATTTCAAATTGGGTACGATTTCCAGTTTCATTTTTAACGGAGCTAAATTGAACACGTCTTCATCAAATTGTAAATTACATGGCGACCGCAGTTGGTTAAAATTAATGGCTAATACGGTGGTACCCGCTAAAGCCCTAATTAAAATGCTATTAACAATGTAGGGTGCATTCGTGTGTAAGTAGACCGTTTTAACGGAAACGATTCCTTATTGCTTTTGTATTTAGAGTAGAAAATTATGTTAAAACGTCTTTAAATGGCTGCTCAGCTTAGATGTGCAGCAATCGGACCGCCTTTTATTAATTTTTTAATCGCATTTCCTTTTTCTGTCTATACTCAACTGCATATTAAAATGA